TTGTACTCGGTCTCATCCCAGGAGAACATGGACTCCTTCTTGGAGATGACGATCTTCTCCTCRGCCATCAGGTAGTCAAAGGGGAAGATGTAGCGCCAGTTGAAGTTGCCTTCGCCGGTGAGGGAGTGGTAATGGACRTCYGTGTCCTGCTTGTCCTCCTGCTGCCCCTTCAGCCACCTGCAGGGCCCAGGGGTAGAGGGGGCTGAAGGTTGGACGGGGCTTGGAGCACCCTGGGACAGTGGAAAGTGTCCCTGCCCGTGGCAGGGGGTGGGATGGGATGAGATTTAAGGTCCCTTTCCACCCAAAGCATTCCAGGATTCGGTGATTGGTGTGAAATTCCAGAAGGGGCTTTCCCTTCCTGCTGAGCGCGGGTGAAGCGGAGATGGGAACGGACCAGAACCACCCCCGCCAGTTTGGCCCTGGATGCTAGAGCTGGAGGTGGCAGGGTGGAAATGCCACGAGGGGACAGAGAGGGGCAGAGGGGACCAAGCAGCAGRGCCTCATCAAGCGTAAGAACGCTTCTCCTATGATGCTGGGCAACAACCGTAATGAGTAGTTTGATCTATGTTAGACTTCCATTTCCTGCCCCCTTTGTATACGGGAAGACACGGGGGGGTGGAGAGGGATGACCTGAGAAAGAGACAGGTCCCCTGAAAGGATAACAGGTGTCTTAAAATGTCAGTTTTTATTTTTCTTCTCCTTGTAAATTTTTCCCTATCTTTGTTCCCCTCCATGGTGCGGTARTATTCTTAGTAGTTTTTTTAGTAATAAATCTATTTTGCAACTTAAGTTATTCAGCCTGTCTGACCATTTTCTGGAGCATATACACATCTTTCTCTCAATTATGTTATCTGAACATAATKATTAATTTCTCACAAGTTATGTTATCTGAAAGCCATAAATTTTTGTGTTAATTGGGCTTTTGCTCTCCCTTCTGCCTCTCAGGTGKGGGGGAGGGAGAGAACGTCATGGGTGCTTTGGCTTTTGGTCAAGTTCAAACC